CCCCCCCCCCCCCCCGGGGGGGGGGGGGGGGGCATGTGAATCATCCCTTGTGGGGGGGGGCTGTGAGAGACCTTTGCCAGGAGGGGGCCTGGAAGGGCTGGGGGGGATCCCAAGATATGGAGCTGCTTCCCTGCCTCTCCAGCTGCAATTGGCAGCCTCAACCCCCCCAGGCTGCATCAGGACATGTCCCCGCACCTCCGCTGGCAGCAGCCCTTGCATCTCGCCAGGCCCTTCTGCATAGGAAGTGGGGGGGGGGTACCAGCACAGTGTGTGGTGTGTGTGTGGGGCAAAGGAGGGAAGGGCACGATACAGAAAGCAGCCAGGTCTCCTGGTAGTCCAGAGGGAGATCTGCCCAATCCCTGGGCAAAAGAGAAACCACAGCTGGCAGAAGCAGATCTTACTGGACCAGCGGTCTCAGGAGAGCCATGAGTAAAGGGGGCCACCCATGGAGGATGGGTCAGCACCAATAGAGCCTCCCTCTTCTATTCCTAAATAGCAGCTGGGAAGGAATGTCTCCCTGATGCTTTGAAGCGCAGACTCCAATAAGGAAGACAATGGCTGCAATATCGGGGAGGGGGACTGGGCTGCCTCTCTCGCCATTCCCCTTTTTCTCTTCATGCCTGAGGAGGACGCAGGGGGGGGGCAGGGGGTGGAGAGAATCAGGATTTAAAATGAAAGATTGTGTGGCTGAAAATACAAATGCTCTGCTCTTGTTCAGTGAGAAGCCCTGGACTTCAAGAACTGGTTTTGTGTAAGAAACAAATCCTTACACCACCACCCCAGTGTGGGATCTCCCTAGCTGTCCAAGAATTCTGGCTTGGGAGGAGGGGGTTTGATTCTATGGGATCATTTTCCTTCTTCCACCTAGGCTCTGCTCCAAAATCCAGAGATCTCAAGCCAAATTTTGGAGCCCCTAACTATAATCGGACTTTCGTACTTCTTAAAAGAAGAGCAGAATAATCTGAATGTTTTTGTCTCTACTGGAAGCCTAAAAACCTTCTCCTTTTCCTCTGCCAGCCTGTCCTGCCTCTGCCTCTCTTTCACCCAGGGCAGGAACACCCAAAGCCCTCCAAAGACCTCCTGGCTTCATTTTCCTCAGGTGCCTCCAGGCTCCCTGCAAAGGACCCCTGTGGGGTCTCTCCAGGGGGGCACTTGGATAACCTTGGGAGGCGGGGCCTTATGATAAGATTAAGCCCCACCCCCTCAAGGTTATCCAAGCTCTGACTCAGGAGAAAGAAGGCTGGGCTGAGGGCAAGGGGGACCAAGCCCCCCCCCCAGCCTTTCCTAGCTGAAATCTCTCCTCCCCCAAATTAACTCAGAGCCAGGGGAGGAAGACGAGCTTCCATGTGAAATGACCCCTTTCGTTACATGCATGCCCAATTGGGGCGATGTTGGCCTGACGCTGCAGCCTGCTTCTGCCCTTCTTCCCAAGGCAGGAGGACCACCCGGTCCTGCCCTTTCTGGAGAGGCAGCCCCCAGAGCAGTTAAGCTTTTCTGGAGGAGATGCCAGCAGGATTCTCCAAAGAGGGGCCTCTTTCCCCACCCAGAGATCTAAGTGACTTAGGGTAGGTGCTCCCCCCAAGGGCCCTGGTGGTGCTCACCTTTTTGGGGCACTGCAGGTCCATGGCCAGGCTCATCAGGAGGTCATGGGAGATGGGGTCCACCAGGTTGAGGAAGGTGGCCTTCTTGTAGAGCACGTCATTGAGGAACGTCCCCTCCAGGCCAAGGTCCTAAGAGCAGAGAAAGTGGCTGAGAACTGGGGGGCACTGGACAGGGAAACCCCCCATGCCACTAGCCAGCAAGGAAGGCAGACCTCTGGGGGGGTGAGGATGCAGATCTCCTCACCCAGATGTGGGGTAGCTGCAGAGGCTGGAAAGACGGCATCCTTGCAGCTGCGGCCCCTACAACTCTTTCAGATTCTCCACCAGATCCTGGCCACGGTTCTTGAGGCAGCTGAACCAACTGAACGTTTTGATGGAAAAAATGGCCTGAGAGCAACTGCCTCCCACACCATCAGAGCTTGCTTGGTAAAACTGCTTCCTCCAGCATGTCTTCAAATCCTGGAATGCGAGTGGGGGACACTATGCCACTGCCCACCCATTGCCCACTGGTCCCGTGTCAGGTGCAGCATCTCTCTGGATCAGGGCAACGCTTTCCACTAAGAAACAGAAAGGCAAACTCACTGCATCCACAACTGACAGAGTAAAAGCAACTGACTGGACAACACAATCATTCTCTAGCAGTCACACAAAGCCTGGTCTGCCCCATGGAAGTGGGCCTGGAAAGACCGGACTGCCATCCCGGCAGCTCTTTTGCTTGGCACTGGCCACAGCATCCCAATGCCAATGCAAGGGGGCCCACATTTGCCACATTTCTGCCTCCACATTAGAGGACTCTTGGTTTTGGGGTGGGGGACATCCTGAAATGTCAGCTAGTACAAAATCTGGCAAGTGTCTGTTTCTGTTGCTCCCCTCTGGGAGGAGGTTTTGAAGTATTTATAGCAGGATTATGAGGTTCAGTAACAGCTTTGTTCCTTATGCCGTCCCTCTTGTCAATTTGCAGGATTCTCCTCAACCCCCGCCCCCACCCCCACTTCGTCTCTGTATACAGTGGAACTAGACTGTGAGGTTTCCGCATGTCACGTTTGTGTGTGTGTGTGTGTGTGTGTGTGTGCGCGCGCGCGCGCGTGCATGGGGGGGATCTGTATCAGGGCTCTTCTTTGAGAGCTGAAGGTAATGAATTTTCATTTTAGTGTGTGCTGATTAACGTACATTTAAAGTGACAATAAAGTTCCATTCCCCTCCGCCCGACTCTCCTTTGGGGGCAGCCCGCACCCATCGAGTCGGAGGCGCTTCCGACGGCCGGGCTCCCGCTGCCCCGCCTTTCCCAGAGCCCAGGCGGCCCGCCGTCTGCTGAAGGAGCCAAGCGCCACCGCCGCGCTTTGTCCCGGATGCCCGCGGCCGCCTAGGCGGGCGACTTTGGGCTTCCGAGGCGCCGTTTCCATCCCGCCGGCCCCATCGACAGCCGCGCTCGGAGCGGAACGCCTGGCCACATCAGGCGGAGCGCTGCCGGAGAGGCGTTTCCTTCCCGGGGCTCAGCCCGCGGCTGCCTCGGCCTCCTCGCGTGAGGGAACAAAAAGGCCGGTCTCGCCTCCCTCCCCCTCCCCCAGGCTCGGGCGCCGGCTCACCTTCCGCAGCAGCCGCAGGAGCTGCAGGGCCCGCTCGTGCTGATGCTCGCCGAGGGCGGCCTGGATCTCACGGAGCCAGCGCAGCCGCCGCACGTAGGGCGCCGCCGGCCGCCTCTTGCGCAGCCCCGCCGGCAGCTTCTCCGAGCCCAGCAGGAGTGATGCCAGCCGGCAGTCCGGGCCGAGGCGGCGCGGCGGCTCCTCCGGGGGCCTCCTGCCGCGGAGGGAGCCCTTGCAGCGGCCGGGAACACCCCTCGCCTCCGCGCCGCTCTGCCGGCTCTGCTGGGAGCCCATCGCCGCCCTCCTGCCCGCCCGCTCGAGGCGCTTTGCCTGTCGCTCCGGGAAGGCGGCGGGGCTCGGGCGGCGCAATGCAGCGAGCGGAGCCCCCTAGTCCGCTGGCGGGACGCGGCTTTTTTCCCGGGCACGTGCACGCGGCGCGCAGAGGGGGAGGAGCCGATCCTCGGCAGCGTCTCTGGTCCCGGGGTATGCGGCCCGCTCCTCCGCGCGAGTGGGTGGGTGGGCGCGCCAGAAAGGCCGCCGGAGGGACCCGTGACCCAGGAAACGTTGCCTAGGCTGCCCGGTCCCCGCCGAAGCCCCCTCGAGGCAGAGTAGAGCCTCCCCTGGTCCTCCGGGGGCCCCTCAGAGACCAACAAGGCGGGCCTGAGTCGGAGCGCCCCGTCAGCAATAGAGGGGTCGGTCCGGGATCCGTCACAGCTTAGGCCGGGCCGCTTTCAGGTGGGGACGCTGGGGTTGGGGGCGCAGAGCCCAGCTGCCGTGCAGGAAGAGAGGCTCCCGGGCGCCCCGCCTGCGCTTGATCAGTACAATGGAAGACTGGGGGACGGGGGAAGGCTTGGAAGAGTCTCCAATGTGAAAAAGAAAAAAGTCGATTCTGGTTTGATATCAGCAAAAATGTCCTGAAGAGCCTCGGAGCCGTTTAAACAAGCTGTGTGGCTCACCCGTTGGAGATGCTGGATTCCTGCTTCTGGCAGGGTTGGACTTAATGAACTCGAAGGTCCCTCCCCTCTCTTCCATTGCATTGACTTTTGCTCCGTTTTCTTGGCCTAAGTTTACATGTGCCATTAACCTGTCCTGGCAGAGTGGCCCAGCCCTTTGGGACCTCCTTTTCCGCTTTTCTTCAGCACCACAGAGAGGCTCTTGTTCCCCATCTCTGAGCACCTGGGATAAAGATGCTCCCTCTGTTTTGCGCACTGTCAATTAGGGCGTGGCCGCTCAGAACATCTGGAGCAAATCAGTTGTGTGCTTAAGGGCACCATTCCATAGGATTGAATGGTGTGTATAAATGTCACAAAATTTCCGTTCAGCCTTTCTTGGCAGTAGACAATGCCTTAAGGTAATAAAGTGGAATGTTAACACAAGGGAGCTAAGTCAGGAAGGAAAATCCTCCATGTTCTAGGAAAAACACTTTGAGAATTTCAGCCAAAACAGACTCAGTGCTTCAGCCCCAATTCTTGCCCTGCAGCCGAAGTCTCTGCTCCCCAAGGTACCTGAGGACCCCTCCCCCCATGTTTACCAATCACATAATTGGATGTCAGCAAAAAGTGAACTCGGGGCTGAGATGGGGCAGGGGCCTCCTTAGTTGGGGGTTCTGGATCCAGTGTCATGTGGGGCTGTTTCAAGCCCCCACCCAGAGAGGGTAGAATCAACGGGGGGGGGGGGGGAGGGCTTTGCAGCAGATCCTGCAGCCAGGCCAGGGAAGGGTGAAGCAGAGGCAAGGTGGGCTGGATCCTTGCAAGAAGGCGGTTAAATGAGTTGAGCAGCTCTGCGGTGACCTTCGTCCTTTGTAGCTATTGGCAAAATGTGTTGGTGATTTCATGTTGCTACTGAGGGCCAGCTGCTCAGGATTTAGCCAGGGCACAGAGGTGCCAAGCAAGTGCCCATTTAATTCCACTGGTTTAGGTTTAAGTTTATTAGATTTATATGCCGCCCTTCTCTCAAGGACTCAGGGCGGCATACAACATTAAAAGAAACACATATTACAAAAGTTAAAAAAAATTAAATATAATATCCCAAACAAAACCAATTAGAATTGACAATAACATTTTTTTAAAAAAATTCAAATTAAAATTAATAATGATCAATAATTTGTTTTATTCAGGCCAGGCTGGCTTGCTGGAAAAGCCAACTTTTTAGGGCGTGTCGGAAGGACCGAAGGTCAGGGATTATACCAGAGGGAAGGCGCTCCCATAGAGAAGGCTCTCCCCCTGGGGGTCGCTAGCTGACCCTGTGGAGGCCAACTCTGTGTGATCGCACTGGACGGTGGGAGCCTACCGGTAGCAGTAGGTGGTCTCGCAGGTACCCCGGGCCTAAGCCATGGAGCGCGTTAAAGGTCATAATTAGTACCTTGAATCGCACCCGGAAGACAACTGGCAACCAGTGCAGGCTGCCTAAAAGAGGTGTAACATGGGAG